GTTCAGGTGTATATCAGTATGTAGTGTCTCTACTTTAAAGAGTCCTCTCCTGCTGATGTTCAGGTGTATATCAGTATGTAGTGTCTCTACTTTAAAGAGTCCTCTCCTGCTGATGTTCAGGTGTATATCAGTATGTAGTGTCTCTACTTTAAAGAGTCCTCTCCTGCTGATGTTCAGGTGTATATCAGTATGTAGTGTCTCTACTTTAAAGAGTCCTCTCCTGTGATGTTCAGGTGTATATCAGTATGTAGTGTCTCTACTTTAAAGAGTCCTCTCCTGCTGATGTTCAGGTGTATATCAGTATGTAGTGTCTCTACTTTAAAGAGTCCTCTCCTGCTGATGTTCAGGTGTATATCAGTATGTAGTGTCTCTACTTTAAAGAGTCCTCTCCTGCTGATGTTCAGGTGTATATCAGTATGTAGTGTCTCTACTTTAAAGAGTCCTCTCCTGCTGATGTTCAGGTGTATATCAGTATGTAGTGTCTCTACTTTAAAGAGTCCTCTCCTGCTGATGTTCAGGTGTATATCAGTGTGTCGTGTCTCTATTTTAAAGAGTCTCTCCTGCTGATGTTCAGGTGTATATCAGTATGTAGTGTCTCTACTTTAAAGAGTCCTCTCCAGCTGATGTTCAGGTGTATCAGTATGTAGTGTCTCTACTTTAAAGAGTCCTCTCCTGCTGATGTTCAGGTGTATATCAGTATGTAGTGTCTCTACTTTAAAGAGTCCTCTCCTGCTGATGTTCAGGTGTATATCAGTATGTAGTGTCTCTACTTTAAAGAGTCCTCTCCTGCTGATGTTCAGGTGTATATCAGTATAGTGTCTCTACTTTAAAGAGTCCTCTCCTGCTGATGTTCAGGTGTATATCAGTATGTAGTGTCTCTACTTTAAAGAGTCCTCTCCTGCTGATGTTCAGGTGTATATCAGTATGTAGTCTCTACTTTAAAGAGTCCTCTCCTGCTGATGTTCAGGTGTATATCATGTAGTGTCTCTACTTTAAAGAGTCCTCTCCTGCTGATGTTCAGGTGTATATCAGTATGTAGTGTCTCTACTTTAAAGAGTCCTCTCCTGCTGATGTTCAGGTGTATATCAGTATGTAGTGTCTCTACTTTAAAGAGTCCTCTCCTGCTGATGTTCAGGTGTATATCAGTATGTAGTGTCTCTACTTTAAAGAGTCCTCTCTGCTGATGTTCAGGTGTATATCAGTATGTAGTGTCTCTACTTTAAAGAGTCCTCTCCTGCTGATGTTCAGGTGTATATCAGTATGTAGTGTCTCTACTTTAAAGAGTCCTCTCCTGCTGATGTTCAGGTGTATATCAGTATGTAGTGCAGCGGTGGAGGCTGTGATCTGTTGGATGGAGCCCGTCTGGTGGACTCCTCTCCTGGGGCCTCATTTATAACGCCTTGCGTAGGATTCACGTGGGAAGGTTGCTTACGTAGTACAAAGCAAAAAAATAGGTACAGACATTTTCCGATTCACAAAACATTGCGTACCGGTGCGGGAAGTGCGTACGGCACTTCCCGCACCGGTTTCCCTTTATAAATCACAATCAACCCGAAATGCGGCGCAGCTTTTGCAGGCTTCACTTAACGCCCATATTTGCATATAAATAGTCAAAGAAACGCCCATTCATTCATTCATTCATTGATTCATTGATTCATTCATTGATTCATTCATTGATTCATTCTGACTGACTGCATGAAGAAGATCAGGAAATGAGGACAGAACATCTAAAAGAGACATCTCACACCGTGTCAGGTTTTAGGTTATTTTGGGGAGGTGGAGATAAATCATATTGTTTGGTGGATGCAGTTTGAACCAGAGGAGCAGCATGGAGGACGGATCGTCACCAAAAAAAATACACATAACCTTCCTCAGGCAGTGTGTTTGTCCCGGGACAGGAGACCCCCCCCTTGATGAGAAACTGTAAGAAATGATGGGGGAATCCCTCCGGAGTGTAGTCATGACGACTGGATCTGAATTATTGTGTTGTATTTGGTGGTTTGTGTTCCAGCTGTCGATCAGCAACTATATATCCATAATCCACCAGTCAAAGGAAATACAATGTGTTGTGTTATATTAGCTGTTTACCACATATGGTGTTCTTAGTTTCCATACCTCCTGGGTTTTACGAGCCACTTATCAAGTCTTGGCAAACGGCATAAAACACGATTAAACGTGATAGTATATAAAACCATGCTCGTATCTACAACCTATAGAAAAGCTAAACGGCGTCAGTTTAGACGTCATTCTGTCCTCCTGCTTACCGCATCATTAATGAGAAAACATTTCATTACATTAACACAACATATTCGAGGTGGTTTTAAATAACATATCCGTATTTATTTATTTCTCCAAGTGATGTGTCTGTGTGCACTGAGGAGTCTCAAACAGGCGTTTGTTTCATCATTTAAAGATTGGCTTTAATCAATGTTTGAAAATGAATTCTTCATATTTGAGAAATGAAGAAGTACACGTACCAGAAGATGCACACGTACCAGAAGATGCACACGTACCAGAAGATGCACACGTACCAGTAGAAGTACACGTACCAGAAGAAGTACACGTACCAGAAGATGCACACGTACCAGTAGAAGTACACGTACCAGAAGAAGTACACGTACCAGAAGAAGTACACGTACCAGAAGATGTACACGTACCAGAAGAAGTACACGTACCAGAAGATGCACACGTACCAGAAGAAGTACACGTACCAGAAGAAGTACACGTACCAGAAGAAGTACACGTACCAGAAGATGTACACGTACCAGAAGAAGAACACGTACCAGAAGAAGTACACACGTACCAGAAGATGTACACGTACCAGAAGATGTACACGCACCAGAAGAAGTACACGTACCAGAAGAAGTACACGTACCAGAAGATGTACACGCACCAGAAGAAGTACACGTACCAGAAGATGACAACGCACCAGAAGAAGTACACGTACCAGAAGAAGTACACGTACCAGAAGAAGTACACGTACCAGAAGAAGTACACGTACCAGTACCAGAAGAAGTACACGTACCAGAAGAAGTACACGTACCAGTAGAAGTACACGTACCAGAAGAAGTACACGTACCAGAAGAAGTACACGTACCAGAAGAAGTACACGTACCAGAAGATGCACACGCACCAGAAGAAGTACACGTACCAGTACCAGAAGAAGTACACGTACCAGAAGAAGTACACGTACCAGAAGAAGTACACGTACCAGTACCAGAAGAAGTACACGTACCAGAAGAAGTACACGTACCAGAAGAAGTACACGTACCAGAAGAAGTACACGTACCAGTAGAAGTACACGTACCAGTAGAAGTACACGTACCAGTAGAAGTACACGTACCAGTAGAAGTACACGTACCAGAAGAAGTACACGTACCAGTAGAAGTACACGTACCAGTAGAAGTACACGTACCAGAAGAAGTACACGTACCAGAAGAAGTACACGTACCAGAAGAAGTACACGTACCAGTAGAAGTACACGTACCAGTAGAAGTACACGTACCAGTAGAAGTACACGTACCAGTAGAAGTACACGTACCAGAAGAAGTACACGTACCAGTAGAAGTACACGTACCAGTAGAAGTACACGTACCAGAAGAAGTACACGTACCAGAAGAAGTACACGTACCAGAAGAAGTACACGTACCAGTAGAAGTACACGTACCAGAAGAAGTACACGTACCAGAAGATGTACACGTACCAGAAGAAGTACACGTACCAGAAGATGCACACGTACCAGAAGAAGTACACGTACCAGAAGAAGTACACGTACCAGAAGAAGTACACGTACCAGAAGATGTACACGTACCAGAAGAAGAACACGTACCAGAAGAAGTACACACGTACCAGAAGATGTACACGTACCAGAAGATGTACACGCACCAGAAGAAGTACACGTACCAGAAGAAGTACACGTACCAGAAGATGTACACGCACCAGAAGAAGTACACGTACCAGAAGATGTACACGCACCAGAAGAAGTACACGTACCAGAAGAAGTACACGTACCAGAAGAAGTACACGTACCAGTAGAAGTACACGTACCAGAAGAAGTACACGTACCAGAAGAAGTACACGTACCAGAAGAAGTACACGTACCAGAAGAAGTACACGTACCAGTAAGAAGTACCCGTACCAGTAGAAGTACACGTACCAAAAGAAGTACCGTACCAGAAGAAGGTACACGTACCAGAAGAAGTACACGTACCAGAAAGATGCACACGCACCAGAAGAGTACACGTACCAGTACCGAAGAAGTACACGTACCAGAAGAGTACACGTACCAGAAGAAGTACAACGTACCAGTACCAGAAGAAAGTACACGTACCAGAAGAAGTACACGTACCAGAAGAAGTACACGTACCAGTACCAGAAGAAGTACACGTACCAGAAGAAGTACACGTACCAGAAGAAGTACACGTACCAGAAGAAGTACACGTACCAGTAGAAGTACACGTACCAGTAGAAGTACACTACCAGTAGAAGTACACGTACCAGTAGAAGTACACGTACCAGTAGAAGTACACGTACCAGTAGAAGTACACGTACCAGAAGAAGTACACGTACCAGAAGAAGTACACGTACCAGAAGAAGTACACGTACCAGTAGAAGTACACGTACCAGAAGAAGTACACGTACCAGAAGAAGTACACGTACCAGAAGAAGTACACGTCCTCATGGGGAACATTGGACTTGGACCCTTTCCAGTCGGACCCTGGCCTGATGGCTCAGAGCCACCAGAGGGCGCTTGTAACACTTGGAGGAAAGTCCATCTATAACTCTATATGATCATTGTATACTTCATCATTTGAATGTTGAATGGTCTCCACGTTTCCTTACGGTCTAATGCCTCACACTTTATGGATACATGTGTTATTTATTTTTTGTTTGTTTGTCGACTACACATTTTATCACATGACTGAACGGGTCCTGTAAAAACGACACTGCGCATGCTCAGAGTCTTTTTGTATTCAACGTGTGCGGCAACAAAATAATCACCATAGGGGCTCTATGCTGACATACCAAACGTCATCTCATAATTCAGAGAGCTGATTGGCTGTAAGTACGTGTGCCGCAAAAAGTGTGGTGTGTGAAGAGGAGACGAGAGAGCTGCAGTGACGCGTCCTAAAACCCTGAAGGAAGCTGCCGGTTCCCTCGACACAAAGCAGTGAGGTTTCTCCAGAGGGTTTGAGAAAAGAGCTGGAAATCAGATCTGTGGAAACAAACCTGTTAGATAAATGCACGTTTTGTTCAGCCGGATAACATCCACATGTCTACCCTACTTTTAGAATGTTCTAATCATAAATCTATCAATTAGATAGATTAGGGAGGCGTGGTGCTGTGGGTTGTGTGTTGGTGTTGGGATCAGATGGTCACAGGTTCAAACCCCACTGCAGTCAGCATGTCGTTGTGTCCCTGAGACACTTCACCCCAAAGTGCTCCTGTGGGGATTGCCCACAGTATTGAGTATGTAAGTCGCTTTGGATAAAAGCGTCTAACAAGTGACATGTCATGTCATTTATGATTCGACTTTTGAAACGACAAGAAGGAGGACTTTTACAAAAAAGTAATAGAGATGTTTGTCCAGAAGGATAGCATGGACTTCATCTTCAAGTCAAGGTAAGACCACATTGTATTGCAAATGGGATCTTACTAAGAGAGAACAATTCAATATTTAAATGATAAAATTACATTTGTTGGGTATCCTTTTGTTGAACTGTCTGTTTAAAATTAATCGAAGCATCAGACAAAAAAAGCTTTTGAAAATAATATTATATTTTGATTTAGGTCAAAATATAATATTTGTAAACCTGAAGACTCAGAGCCTCAGCAGCCATGAACCTCTCTGCACGAAGACTCAGAGCCTCAGCAGCCATGAACCTCTCTGCCTGAAGACTCAGAGCCTCAGCAGCCATGAACCTCTATGCCTGAAGACTCAGAGCCTCAGCAGCCATGAACCTCTATGCCTGAAGACTCAGAGCCTCAGCAGCCATGAACCTCACTGCCTGAAGACTCAGAGCCTCAGCAGCCATGAACCTCACTGCCTGAAGACTCAGAGCCTCAGCAGCCATGAACCTCTATGCCTGAAGACTCAGAGCCTCAGCAGCCATGAACCTCTATGCCTGAAGACTCAGAGCCTCAGCAGCCATGAACCTCTCTGCCTGAAGACTCAGAGCCTCAGCAGCCATGAACCTCTATGCCTGAAGACTCAGAGCCTCAGCAGCCGTGAACCTCTCTGCCTGAAGACTCAGAGCCTCAGCAGCCATGAACCTCACTGCCTGAAGACTCAGAGCCTCAGCAGCCGTGAACCTCTCTGCCTGAAGACTCAGAGCCTCAGCAGCCATGAACCTCTCTGCCTGAAGACTCAGAGCCTCAGCAGCCATGAACCTCTCTGCCTGAAGACTCAGAGCCTCAGCAGCCATGAACCTCACTGCCTGAAGACTCAGAGCCTCAGCAGCCATGAACCTCACTGCCTGAAGACTCAGAGCCTCAGCAGCCATGAACCTCTATGCCTGAAGACTCAGAGCCTCAGCAGCCATGAACCTCTATGCCTGAAGACTCAGAGCCTCAGCAGCCATGAACCTCTCTGCCTGAAGACTCAGAGCCTCAGCAGCCATGAACCTCTATGCCTGAAGACTCAGAGCCTCAGCAGCCATGAACCTCTCTGCCTGAAGACTCAGAGCCTCAGCAGCCATGAACCTCTCTGCCTGAAGACTCAGAGCCTCAGCAGCCGTGAACCTCTCTGCCTGAAGACTATTGATGTATGCTGATTCTCTCGCATCCAGGAAGAAGTTTAAAGATTAAGAGACAATGAGTCTCTGAAAGGGTTCAAATTGGTTACTTTAATTTAAGCAGCGTGGTAGTGAAACAAACAAAGGGTAGCTGGGGGACAAAAGCAGATGTTGCCCCGCAGCTGGTCCCAAGGCAGGTCCCGCACGTTGAGTCTCCCACCTGTATCTCTCCTTCGCTCCTCCTCTCTGGGGGGCTGTGACGTAGGGGGCCGCACACCTCGGTCTTCATGTCCGAAATCGTGCATAACAGAGGATTTCGATATTTTGTATTCATTGCTCACTTCCGCACGCCTTTTCTCCTCCTACTCTCTTTCATTACTTTTTATTTAATGCATTATTACGGCTGTAATCGTTACTCTAGTAATACCGGAAATGGTCATTATTTAACGGCTGAGACCGTTAGTACTGTAGCACAGGAAGTCGTCATTGTTGTCAACGTCTTTAGATACAGCTTTTCAAAATAAACTTTACTCTGAACTGTTTTCAGAATAAAACAGTTTTTAAAGCTTACTATGTGTTTACGCTAAATTACATCATTGAATATTGATTTTAATTTCTAACAATCCCTCCTTACACACCTTTTTAAGGTGTGAACACAATACTGAAATCAATGAGTTCTTCATCTGAACTTTGCATAGTACATATCTCATATCAAAAACATACAATCATAAATGGAATGGTTCAATAACCTTCATCAAAATTACAAACAATACATTGGTTGGTCTTCTGGTGTAAAAGTTTTCCTTGTGCATAACTTCTAGTTTTAATCATTCAATATCACTTTTTAAAATAGCAGCAACTTGTTGTATTAGAACATTTCTTTCTCCCTCCTTTCACAGAAACCGTTCCCATACCACATTCAGTGTTAAGGCACTTGTTTTACAAAGTATACTATTTACAAATCGCATCACTAATAACAGTATAAAACATAAAAGTTAGAAACCTTTTTGGAATAGTGCAAAGTAATACCACTTTGTAGCTGGTTCTTCATTCTAATGATTTCATCATTTGAAATATCACATGATTTGGACATTCTTTGAACAATCTCATCATTTATCATCCATATCATTTAACATCATTTACACACTGTCATCATTTTCATCAATATCTGTATATGGGTTGAGTCGTCTTGTTCTGCTAGCAATTGAAACTGTTCCCTTATGAGAAATGTACCCTCCCCCCTTTCATACTTTTTAAAGTATGAAAGTAATATGTTCTCTAGAAAAGGCCGTGGTGATCAATCGGTACGTTAGGGTGCGGGTACATGGAATGCAACTACAACCCCTAGCACTCCCCTGGGCCCCCCTATGCTATCCTTGTACACTGTGGAGCCTAAACTCCCTCCTTTGACTGGTCTCTTAGCCCTACTGGTTTTGGGGTGTTTCGCCATGTTGATTAACTGCCCCACTGTCATTGGTACTGCATATAAAACATCACTGGCTGTACAAGTGCACAGGTCCCAGTCCAATCCTGTGGCAAGACAGCGTACAAGGTTTTAGTTCCATGATACCATCAAACATCTACTCTGGGATACGGCTTTTCAGACAGTCATTTCTGGGAGAAGATTTTGGTCAGTTACAACAATTGGAGAATTTCATCACTTATGGTTCCTACTTCAGTACCTTTGGGTGGTCCGTTCTAATGCAGTGATAAAGTTCCTTAAATGGTGTGAAAACCGGTGGAATATCAATAACTCATTTCACTAATTTATCTTCAATTCTAGTCTACTTAAAGAACTATGCTAACCCCTTTAACAGTGTGTGGAACCTTGGGTGTCCGAGCATGTAACAGTTACTCCCTCCTTTATCAAGGATTTTAAAAACAGAAGTTATTTCATCTGGTTTGTAGTTCAATTTAGGAATTTCACTTATGGCGGATATGTTTCTACTTTAAATAACATCTCTAAATTTCAGGTCATCCCTGATTAAATGGATGACCATCAGGAGGTGGTGGCGCTTGTCTTTTAAACTCATAATTTGGTGCCGTGCGCTCCCTGTGAAGCTACAAGTAAGATTTAAAACAACTGCTGGGTGGGTTGAGTGACCCCTTCTCTCTAAACGATATGGGTTGTCAAAAATATGCATCATTGCAATGAGTGATCCAAGGCCCCGCATGTATTACTCCCAATTATATTGCTTTTTCCAAAATTAAATTTGCAATCGCTCTTTGCCCAGTGTCCTTTAAAACTCTACATCTTGGACAAACAAATGTTATTTCCACCTCAACAGTTCTCCTATGGTAATAACTATGCTACAATGGCGAAAACAATACTTTAGATTGGGATACTATATTTGGCTTGGTATTAGCTCTCCCTTTAACATTGTCCAACTAACACAGATTTGTCTGCTCTTATAGAGTGGTCACTAAAACTATCCCTTTAGCTGTAGATCAATATTGTAACACATTAGATCTCTACCAAATTCACCCATGAATAAAATCTCTTAGGGAATACTTCGTTTCCATGATGGAAAGATTGAAAAATATGTTCTACTCTGTACTCCTAAGTCCCAAAACACTCACTGCTTAAAGTGTAAAGTGTGGTGAATATTTCCATCATGTCTACCCCTTTATCTCACAGTACCCTCAGTGTGTTTTAGGATTATTTCCTCATTTTACTTTAACAGTTTCCTCTTTATTACTATTTTAATTTACCAAT